TCACCCTACCGCCCTCACGGTAGGCGGTGAGCCAGTGGCGATAATAGTGTGAAGACATGTAAGGAGATAGAGGAGCGTTATTTTATTGTTCCCCGGGTCTCATTTAAATAAGGATCACTTTTCTTTTTCCCAAAATAAATATTACTTATTATTCTTTCAAAGTTATTTCCTATTTTCAATAAAGCGATATGGGCATGGAGTTCCTAAAAATACTAAAAGCTTACTATGGACAATAAAACCCCTCCTCACTTTCTCTCTCATTTGCTAACACAGTAAAGTCACAATTTTTGGTTCAAGTAATTATTGACGTTTACATTTTATTTTATGTTTTAAAAATAGCGTTCCCCACAAAACCAGCAACGACTAACATTTAGTGAGCATTTACTATGGACGGGGCACTGTTTTCATGTTGTAATTCATGTGACTCAGTGTGAGATCAGGTACCATAAATATTACCGATGAAGAAACCAAGGCACAGAAGGGAAGGCCAGAATGCTGGGTATTCTAGCTCCAGAGGCGGAGCTCCTTGCCACTGGGAATGCTCATCTGTTGGGAAAAAACCCTTCCAAGTACGGAAGTAAAGACAAAGTAGGCAAGAATTTGAAGTTGTACCAGGATCTGGGGACTCAGATTTAGATTTAGCTCACTTGGAAGACAGAATGTTCATAGAAAAACCCAAGGGGAATACGTTTATGCTGTAAAGCAGAAGAGTTTGTTTCTTTTAATTGGCTCATTTGTGTTTGTAAATACTTCTCGTACCTTCTTTCCCAAGCCCTTGTGTTTCCCTGAGCATAGAATAATAGTCCACTGAAGAATCTTCATGCAGATTCGGGGCAAAGAGGCCATTGAGCTCATTTCATTAAGATGCCCAGTTGCTGGGTTATTTAGAGATGAGAACTTTTGAAATTGGAACAGTCCTGGAAAAGGTGGGGTTTATTATTATGGATGTACCACTGGGTGAGAAGGTATGAAAGTAGGTGTACCTTTCACCATTTAGTAAACCACTGTAGCCCAGGCCAGGTGGCTCAGTTGGTAGAGCATCATCCCAATATACCAATGTTGAGGGCTCCATCCCCAGTCAGGGCACATCCAAGAAGCAACCAGTGAATGCACAATGAAGTGAAACAACATATAATATATTTTAAAAAAAACAAAAAAAAACTATAAGATGTCTTCTTATCTCAGAGAGCAGCATATATAGGGGTCTTCTGCTTTTTTCCTTCTTCCTCATCTAATACGTTCACTTAGGGAAATTATTAACTGTTTTTATACTTCCAGTATTATAAATTCACCCAGTACTTATCTCCCCCTGATTGACTCCTTTACAAGTCAGTTCTATTGATTACAATAGTAACTTTGCCCCTAACTGGTTTGGCTCAGTGGATAGAGCTTTGGCCTATAGACTGAAGGGTCCCCAGGTTTGGTTCTGGTCAGGGGCATGTACCTTGATTGCGGGCACATCCCCAGTAGGAGGTGTGCAGGAGGCAGCTAGTCAGTGTTTCTCTCTCATTGATGTTTCTGACTCTCTATCCCTCTCCCTTCCTCTCTGTAAAACTCAATTATATATATATATATATATATATATATATATATATATATATATATATATATATATATTTTTTTTTTTTTTTTTTTTAAGTATCTTGGCCACAGATCTATCTGAGAAGCCTGGGTGATCTGGGATAGGCCTAGGAAGCTGTCCATAATAGAAGAATTGAGGGGATCCAAAACATGAGGATGATTCCATACTCATCAAAAGGCAGTCCAGCCAATCAATCCCCTTCTCACTCTAAAAACAAACATACATGGAATATACTTTATGTCAAAAGCGAGTTACCGAGATTTGGTGGGAAACAGTGCTTTTGGCATGATGGAGCTGCCACAAAAACAGCCCCTCTGATGTCATCTGAGGGATGAAATGCCAGACGTGTCACCAAAGCATTGCTTTTCCCCTGACCGGTTTGGCTTGCACAGCTTGCAGCTGCACACATAGAGAGGATTGGGGAGAGGGGGGGAAGTTTTGTCTACTATTTCTGATGTGCATTTGAATAAGCCACCTGACAAGACCAACAGGAAGCAAAGAAAAATTGTGAACAGGTGTGCGGGAGCTGCAGGAGGATGGTCCTGCTTCCCCTCCTCTTAATCAAGTTGGCTCAGTGTCCTTGGGCTGGGGACCTTGGGGCTGGGGACAGTGGCCGGGCCCACTGCCTCCAGTGTGGGATCTGGTTAAGGAGCCTGCAATCCCACATGGATGCCCCTGCACCTTAAACAAAAGGAAAACCGGATTTCTGTGTTGGTGGCTTCACTGTCACAACCTGAAGGGCTCATTCGCCTGCACAGAGGCCGGTTGGCAAGTACCAGTCCTGAGGGCTGCATCACCATGGGAATGGGTGACACACTTGTGATGAGTTGTCTGTTTGCAGATGGACATCTCCATGCCGTTGAGAAATCTGACAGCCCATTTTTATGTGTTTCCATTGTACAAGCGGTGTCTTATGTAAGGGTCTTGCTGGCTCTTTTGTTTTCTATTAGGATGACTTCTGTGCAGTCATAAGTCGTCATGATGGGTCGGACTCTGTGGTCATGGCTGTTTGCTTTTCCTTTCTTCGTTGCCAATCCCAGTGCGTTCCTCTAGCACAGCGTTGGCTCGCCAGCCATGGTTGCTGCTCAGTCCTCCCCTCTTTCTACATTCGTGATGACTGTGCCTTGATGTTAAAAGAAAACCTATGTTCGGGATAAGGCAGCTTTGAAAGTCACGTAGCCAGCAGCTCTTCAGTTCATTGAAGAAAAAATATTAGAAAAGTCTGAGTAGTGTGTCTGCTCCTTTCAATTCCGTTGTGTTCCCTGGAGGGATGGAGACACTGAAGACTGAGTGTTGGGAGGGTGCTGAGAGAGCAGTGGGCAGTGGGTTGGCAGATGGGAGAGGACAGGGCGAGGCGAGGACAGCTTCTAGAAGATATCTTTTGCTCTGCAGCTGGCTAAACTGCCACCTTTCGGAAGGTTCTTCCAGAAGGTTGTTTAGGTCTTAAATGCTGTGCTTCCCCCAATCTATCCTATGAGTGTTTGAGTCCTATAAATGAAAGAATGAAAGTCATACAATCCACTGAATTGTGTTAAAATATACTGTGTGTGTGTGTGTGTGTGTGTGTGTGTGTGTAATTTATATATAAGTAATTAGAGGATCACTGTAAGTCATTAGGATCACAGTTTAAATCAGTTAAATGTCAGTAATTATTCCAGTGAGCCATGGTTTATAAATATTGATGTTCCAACTGAAGTTAAGGAGGCTCATCTTAGCTATTATTTTTTCCTTTATTTTTCTCTCTCTAATTGTACTGGATGCATAATTTGTCAGTGTCCCTTCTTTATTAAAAAAAAAAAAACTGCTTTCCCAAATTCTGAGCAAATAATCCTTAATTAAATGTACTGATTTTACTAATTCACTTTTTCTCTCTTCTGAATATCAGATTGGAAAGTGAAATGCTTGTGTGTTGTGATTGGGCATCAGAATTCATTGGTTAACCTGTTAGCACATTTAGGACTTGCCTCTCACCAGTTTTTCTGATTTCTTTAGAAAGAAGCTAAAGCAATAGCTATCTTGAATTCTCAGGTGGAAAAAAAACACACAAAAAACGATTAGCTTAGCCATGAACACACAATTTTTATTCAGATATATGCACATGTAATACTTTCATAAGGGTGATAATTTTAAGAGACATTTGAACAGCATAATTACTGGTGGAATATTGCTACCACAAATGTCTTTGGGAGTAGTCTACTAAGGGGTAATATGAGGAAGCCTGAAAGTATAAAGAAAGTAGTATAAAAAGGCAAGAAATTATGTAAAATATGTCATTGTATCAAATTAGTCATAGGCAATAAGAAAATATTTTGCAACTTCCTGAACTTATATACAAGCTTCTTCAGTGATTGACATTCTTCAAGTAACCTATTCTAGACATTATTTCACACCATATGCTAGGCAATCATCAGTTTGTTAACGGATGAAATTTTCTAATGCAATCATTTCTGTGATTTTTTCCCCCCCTGACAAATTGGACTACAGATGACTCAAAGTCACACATATTTTGGACCTACGTAGTTTGCTCAAGTCATATCCTGTTGATAGGACTCTGATGAAAATGTCATCATCGTCATCACCAAACCTCTACCCTGAAGAGAGCTCTAGCTGCCACTTTTTCTGAGTTTGTCTCGTGGTGCTTATCAATATTGGGATTTACTGTACTCTCTCCTTGGCTGTTGGGAAGCCTAGGTCTCACTGTGACCCACTATGCTCTCCAGTCTTGTATGATATACCCACCTGTTATATCCACTAGAATTACAGTTCTTTGTACATGTGACTTTATAAAGAGGTTAAATTAAAGTGTGTGTGTGTGTGTGTGTGTGTGTGTGTGTAGAGCATGTGAAATAATTGCAGAATGCTACACATTGAATATGGGTACTACAAATAGAAACAATTTATTTCCCATTGTCTATAACTGTTTGTTGATCAATTAAACTCTTTAGTCTTACACAGTTCTTTGTTTTTTCAAAAGAGAGAAATTTGGTGTACCTGAATTGCTGAAAATTGCTGCCACTGCTATTGTGAACCCATATTCTCATAACAAAAATATTAGTTCATAAGGAGAAACATCTTCCTTAGACCGTGACGTGATATGTCCTCGAGTGTGCAGATCCCAAATTGTTTTACAGATGGCATCACCTGCTTCCTCGGCCTCCTCTGCTTCTGTAAAGGGCCAGGCAGTGCCTCTGTCATTAACTGTCCTCCTGGTGCCGAGTTGTCCCAGGAGACAGAGGAGATTGGGTCTTAGAAAGAGGCTGGTGAAGCTCAATCCAGATGATTTCAAATGAACCCCAAAGAAAGAGCGCGGGGAAGGGGTTTTTAACAAATTACGCTATTGGGCTTTTCTCACTGACACTTTCCTGCCTTTGTGGGGGGAAAAAAGTTATAAAATGTCTTTTCTTTTTTTGGTACTCAGACGAGTATAGGATCAAACCGGTGGAAGAGGTCAAATACATGAAAAATGGGGCAGAAGAGGAGCAGAAAATAGCAGCCAGGAACCAAGAAAACTTGGTAAGAATTGAATTTCTCGTATAACAATGCATTTTGGTGACACCATTGTAATCAAATCTGCACTGCGTGTTTAAATGGCAACTCCCTCCTTGGGCATAAGATTTCTTGAAAATGCTGTCACTATTTATAGCTTGCCTGGAAGCCAACCATGACTCCTGTATCCTGTTTGTTCCTGAATAAGCCCTTCTTTCATCTTGATAGAGAAAGCTCCAGGGGAAACAATAGCAAAATTATTAGTTTTTAAATGGTTAGATTTAAAGGGAAAAGCATGCAGTAGGGTTGAGATTTATGGGGGAGGGCCATTCTTTTCTTTTTCTCCAGCTCCTTTAAGTCTTAGACAGGTCAGGGTGTGCTGGACATGTAGTATGTTGGGGCGGTTGCCTTTCAAGGGAAAATAGTGTCCTTTGAAGGTAGGTCTCTATGGAAATAGCATTTCACCTTCGTCGTGTTAAAAGTGTTACGGGGATTGAGTTAATGTAAGAATTGTAATGACCCGAAACGGAAAAGGTCGGAACCTTTTTCTTTACTATGAATCAATAGCCATGCTTCCACTTTATATTCCGTCTCTATAAAAACATTTAGTTAATTGTTATATTGGCCGATTTCTTGAAAGAGGTTACAGTGGTTAAGAATCTGCATTTATTCAGGTTTGCTGGAGCAACATTGCTTTTATATTTTATTGTGGGATTACCTATTTGCTTTTTTTCTTTTTTCCATGTTCGACTGAATGTACTTTTAAGAAGCTCGCAATGTCATAAAATATGCTTCGCTTGACTTAAACTCCTTTTTCTGCGATCTGCTTTGTTTTTATGACTTCTGCGCGAGCCCAGGGAAGCAGCAGAATATGAACCCAGTGCTCATGAGTGTCGAAGGCTGTCATTTTCCATCGTACGCGAATGAACGGAATGGGCTAATCCTTTTTTTCTCTATTCTGTTCTGAACATCTGATCAAATATTTAAAACTTCTGAACTTCAAGTTCTTCCTTTGGAAACTGGGAATAACAAAAATTATTGTATTAGAAGGAAACCCAGGATATGTTTAGAATCTTAGCAAAGAGAGGCTTTCTTAAATAAGACATGAAAAAGGCAAAGCTATGGAGAAAGAAAAGTGGTTATTTCATTAGATCAAAATTAATGCCTCTATAAATCAAAAATACCCCTAATAAAGTAGTTAATAGATAGGCAACAGCCTAGGAGAAAATAATGATGACATATACCTAGCAAAATACCAATATCTGAGATTTAGAAAGAACACTTACAAATAACTAAGAAGAAGATAATCCATTAGAAAAGTAGGCAAGTGAAATGAACAGATGGTTCATGGGTAGAGGATATTAACCATCAGCCTATGAAAAGATGTTCCGCATCACTAGGACGGCGGGTGATCTCGTACCTGACTCACTGCATTAGAAGATTCACACATTCCTTTCCGAAAGATGCCCACTGCAGCCGAAGGTGTGCTTACGTGGACGGCTGGTGGGCTGCTTTCTAGAACACCTCTGTGCTTTCGCTCCCTCCGTTAATTGTATGTTTTTCGAGAGCCAGTGTGATGGCTCCCAAGCCTGTTTATACAGGTTGAATGTCATTGTAATTATGCAATTTATATAGTTAAGTAACATGTACACCAGTGAAAAACGCAAGCGTGGAAAGAGCTGTTTCAGTGAAAATTAAATGCATTGGGAAGTCTTGATGCAGGCACAGTCCCGAAAGCTCTCTGTTAAATTAGATGTTGCACTCAGATTAACTTACAGGGTCTTTACACTCACCTACGAAACCAAACCAGGTAATCTTGGATATGCAATATGAGGTTGTTGTTAATGTCAGGGCATAAGGAGATCTGGTCAGTGGTTCCTCTCTTAAGGGAGCATCATTCCTACATCAAAAGATGGGAGATGGCCGAAGCTGGTTTGGCTCAGTGGATAAAGCATCGGCCTTCAGACTGAAGGGTCCCGAGTTCGATTCCAGTCGAGGGCATGTACATTGGTTGTGGGCACATCCTTGGTGTGGGGTGTGCAGGAGGCAGCTGGTTGATGTCTCTCTCTCATCGATGTTTCTAGCTCTCTATCTCTCTCCTCTCCCTTCCTCTCTGTAAAAAATCAATAAAATATGTATTTTTTTAAAAGATGGGAGATGGAAGGCCAGCTCCATTTTTAAAATTAAATAACATACTCATTTTTATGTTGCCCTGCTTTCACTGCCTTTACTGTTTAATTACCAGCCTAGAAAGTATTGCCCAATACACCTTTCACTGTAGTCAGGAAAATGCAAATTCAAGCATGATCCTTTAGATTGGCAAAAATTTCAAGTTTGATAATATCATATTTTGGAGTGGTTGTAAGAAAATCAGTGTTCATGTACTAGTGGTAAACAGCTTGGAGGGCAATTTAGCAGCATCTATTAAAATGCAAACAGGTACAGCCATGACCCAGCGCCTTCCCATCTTGGTATTCACCCAAGCAGCTGCCTGCGTGCAGGAGGAAGCTTGCACAAGACTCCTCACTGCAGTACTGTTTCTGTTAGTGAGAAATGGAAAAGAGCCTCCAGCTTGTCAGTAGGAGAGGCATAGCTGTAGCATAGTAGACAGCAGTTATGTGGAATGACTTAGAGCTTTATGAACTGTCTTGGAGAAATGCAAGTGGTAGAATGGATTTGTACAGTATGATACCAATTAAGGTTTTTTTTTAATAAAACAGAACTGTCTATATCTATATATCTATGTGTGTGTGTGTGTGTGTGTGAGAGAGAGAGAGAGAGGGAGAGAGAGAGAGAGAGAGAGAGAGAGAGAAGAGGGAGAGAGATTCTGCTAAATTGTCTTCCAAGATTATACAGAAAATCTGGATAAATGAGAACAAAACTATTAATAGTGGGTACCTGAGTTGATGTGGGATGTAAGCATGCCAAGGCTCAGTTTCCTTTCTGCAAAATGGGGATAATAATAAGTTGTTAATGTTAAATTAGATATGCCTGCAAACTTTTAGCACAGTTTCTGGCATAGAAAATGCCACCGTTGGCTGTTGTCAACAATGGAATTGGGTTGGGTGGGAAGGATGAGACTGAATTGGATGTGGCGCTAAAAGGAAATTTTAATTTTATTAACTTTTTAAAGAAAATACAAGTAGATTGTGTGATCTAAAATTTAAAAAGGTAGGATAATTATAACAAAGCTCCAATTTTTGACTCCTTGGGAATCTATCATGTAAATAGGATTGAGTCATTTTTTCATTATCTTAAATATTCTTGGTGTTTCTTCATTCTCTGGTATCTGATTAATAGAAGGCAGTTAAAAGGAAGCTCAGAGATCATCCAGCCTCACTTTGTGTAGATTAACACTTTGCATATAAATAATTTAATTTATTCCACACTTGGTGGTATGCAGTCCCCTCGGTTTTTCCAAAGTAAGTTTCTTGACAAATAAAGACATTCAGTTTTAGCTGTGAAGTGCTCCCCCTTCCTATACACCAGGCGTCTTCAAACTACGGCCCGCAGGCCACATGCGGCCCGCAGAGGAGTCTGATCCGGCCCGCCAGGTTTTTTGGGCAATGAGCGCAGCCGAGGTGTTACAGTAGGAATTAGTAGTTCATATAGTCCGGCCCTCCAGCTCTCTGAGGGACCGTGATCTGGCCCCCACTTTAAAAAGTTTGAGGATGCCTGCTATACACTAAAACATTATCTTGTTTTCCTTGATTTACATTTGTCATTCTTTAGCTGTCCTCCCATAGGTGTTAATAAATCGTTTTCTGGTGGATTTTTTTGTTTATGTGTTTGCTTGTTGGTGGTGGATTTGTTTGTTGTTGTTGTTTTGGTATTTTCTATGTATTACAATGTTTTTTATTTGCTGTTTTCAGCTATTTTGTATAAATGAGATGACATGCATCAGATGACACCTATCTTGGGTGGCTGCACTTCGATTTTATACTTATGCATAGAAGTGAGGACTGATTTGAAGCATCCTTGTATAACTCACCAACCCCTGAGTACAATCAAATGGCAAAATAAACAGTGTTCTAATGTGCTTTTGTGGGAGAGTAGGATCAAGCTGTAGACGTGACTGCATTCTCCCTCTGCCTGTTGAGTTTGTAAGAGCCTCCAATGTGTCGCATTTCCAGTAAATGTCAGGACATTTAGTTGCAGAAATTAAGCCTTGAACATTAGTAGATATGTTGGATAAGAGGAATGTTACAGAAACTATGAGAACTCTCCTTAGAGCATTGGTAACTAACTGGTGAAAACTGGGACATGTCCCTGACCCACAGAACACATGTCTTTGAAGCAGGCCCATGTAGTGTTCTCCAAAGCATTGGACTGATTGACAGCCTGAAACCAGAGAAGAGTCAGCAATTCCATTCGTCACTGTAGGTCAGTGGAAAAGCTAAGTGCTCAAGACCACAATCACCATATCACTCTCTTTATTAGAGTAGATCAGTGAACAATAAAATGCATGTAAACATTATAAACTTTGATCTATAAGGTTTATTATACCAAGATATATATGTTCCCATAACAATGTTCTCATAATTGGGAGCCCTCTAGAGTTGATGGAAACTTTTTTTTTTTTAAACAAATTCAACCATGTTTACTCATTCCATGACTCTCTAGAGCAGCTGCTAGACCAGCAACCTGACTTTTTTGCTTAAAGGTTGTTCCTTGTGATCTTAGCAATGGCTGTTTATCTTTGAGTGTTTGTCCTCAAATGGAAGGTCAAGTAATTATTTTTAGAAACCAAATAAGACAAAAGACCGTGACTTTGAGTTGTACCAGTTTCCCAACCATTTAAACGCTCCTGGTACTATTGAGGGTAAATTAAAATAAGCAAACTGACGTGACAGAGAGTCCAGCTCTGTGAAGCACCTCTTCCCACTCCTCCTTCCTTCCAGGAGCTTGCTGGATTTGAGCTCAGGCTGGGCCTGGCATGGGCTGTAGGGGGAGGTATGCACTTGAGGGAGATCATTCCTGGTTGGGGGGAAATCTAGAGGACTGAGGGTTCCCAAACCAAAGTGAAG